GTGGCTGGCAAAAGATTTTCCCGTTCTGTAGGGTGTCTCTTCACTCTGCTGATGGATTCTTTTGCTGTATAGAAGCTTTTTAGCCTGACGTAATCCCACTTGTTTATTCTTGCTGTTATTTCTTATGCAATTGAGGTTCTGTTTAGAAAATCCTTTTCTACACCCATGTCTTCAAGCATTTTACCTATTTTATCTCCCAGTAGGTTTAGTGTTTGTTTTAATGTTTAGGTCTTTGATCCATTTTGACTTTAACTTAGTGCATGGTGAGAGATAAGTGTCCAGTTTCAGTCTTTTGGAAACACACAATCAATTTTCCCCGCACACTCCCTGTGCTGTCTTTCCTCCAAAATATGCCTTCGGGTCCCTGTCAGAGATCAAACAGCCGAATGTGACTGGGAGGGCTGTGTCCTCAGCTCCATCCCCTGCCTCCGCATCCGCTTTCCTTCCAGTACCAGGCCGTTTCATTGCTTTGAAGCATGGCTCAAGTCAGACATCGAGAGGCCTCCTGCTTTGCTCCTGTTGCCCGAAATTGCTTTTGCTATTCTGGACCTCTGCCGGTCCCATATGACTTTTAGGATTGCTTTCTCAAGTTCTTCACGCAGACAGGTCAGCTTCGCCTCAGACCCGGAGGCGGGCAGCGAGGAGCTGCGGGGAGCACCCCGCCGCCGCCGGGCACCTGACGCTCTGTGCAGCTGCGAGGCCTGATGCTGGGCCCTCGGGGTTCTTTCAAGAGCAGCAGAAAGGTCGCTGAGGCCGAAGGGAAGACAGCGGCGGCAGGCCGGCCGGTCACAGGACCTCGCAGCCGTGACACAGAACCTGGGTTTGCTTCGCATGTGACATGACTCCGTGGTGGCCCTAGGTAGGGGCCAGGATGGGGCGAGCTTTAGGACAGGGAAGACGGCCGTGGAGGGACAGGAGGTGCGGGAGTCCCGCAGACGCAGGCGCTGATGAGGACACCGGGCAGGGAGCTGGGGACGGGCCGCAGAGCTGGTCCCCGCTGGTACGGAGGGGAAGCTGAGTCAGGCTAGCTCCTGGGACCCAGAGGAAGCAGCCCGGCGGGGGTGCTCAGGGAGGAAAGGGAAGGCAGGGCCGGAGGCGCAGGCTCTCCTGGCAGGGAGTTCAGCTGGAGCCGCCTGTGGGCACAGGCTCCGGGTCCCCCCACGCCCGGAGCCCAGAGCTCAGGATGAGGTTGGGTGTGGCCGCTCCCAGACCCCAGGGACGCAGCCAGGGGCCCGCCCCGCCGCCCCGCCGCCCCTTCCAGCTCTGCTCTCACTCTCTTCTTTCCCGCTTCTTGGCCGGTGGCCCGGGCTTCCGGACGGAGGGTGCGATGCTCGCTACTCCCTCACTGCCCAGACCAACGCCGCGCGGCTTTGGCACCAACGGGTGGAAAAGGGACTTGGCTGAGGTAGGCAAGGTTACTGTCAGCTTACCTGAAACTAAACTGAGCTGGGGATGTCGCTCAGCGGCGCAGGCCTGCTGGCAAGTGCGAGGCCCTGAGTTCAATTCCCGGTACCAAAAGAGACAACAGTAAAAAAAAACCCACCTATAGTCCCAGCACTCTGGAGGCTGAGGCGGGAGGATCCCTATGAGTTCAAGGCCACCCTGGAATACATAGCGAGACCCTGTCTCAAAACAAACAGACAAAAAAACAAAATGAACAAGATTATTCTGGATCCCCTGGCGGCCCAATGTAATCATATGAACCCAGAAGGCCTGAGGTGAGCACTTACGCAACCAGCGT